ACCAGCTGTTCCACCGGAGAAAGATGAGGGTTTCTGCTCCCGTAAAGATTTACAGCCTCGGAAACTCCGTACAGGGTCGTTATGAGTAGGAACCTACTCCACGGCACATAACAACAACAGCATATATGTTGTTGTTAAGTGCCATTGAGTCAGTTCCAACTCATTGCCATCCTGTATAGGGTTTCCAAGGAGCAACTGCTGGGTTTGAACTGCTGACCTTGTGGTTCACAGTCCAGGGCTGATCCTACTTCTGAGTTCAGGTGTGTTGTTATAGGATGAGCCCTGAACTGGGAACCATAGGGGTCTCTATGAGTCAGAATCAACTTGTATATGTATATATATTTGTTGTTAAGTGCTGTTGAGTTGGTTTTAACTCATAGCAACCTTGTATAGTGTTTCTGAGAAAAGTCTGGTGAGCTTGAACCACTGACCTTGCAATTCAAACTGACTTTGTAGTCCAGCACATTAACCCACAGCGCCACACTAGGATGCCATATATATATGTAGAATCCTGGTGTGGCCTTGCAGAACGAGCAATGGACTACTTACCACAAGATTGGTGGATCAAATCCACCAACCATTCCTTAGAGGCCCTATACAGAGTCATATGAGTTGGCACCCTTTTGATATCAGTCAATAATAACAATGTTATGCAGGATGTTCTAAGCCTTATTTTGATGAGAAAACAGAAGCTCATGAAAATTAAAAATGTACCTAAGATTGCTCAGTACATGATGAAACCTGGATTAAACCCCATATTTATGTAAATTGAAACACTATGCTTTGAAATAATAGGACATTTTGACTTTGTAAAAGATATAGTAATAGAAATTACATCAGTTACACTTCTGACTATGGCAATTTTAATTTTATAAAAATTTAAAATAAAATATGTAACCTCAAGTATGTTATCAAGTTCCTTCAGAGGCAGGAATATTTTTTGTTAGTTCCAAAATTAAATATTGTAATAAAACCACAGAGTTAACAAAAAAAGGCACTTTTTTTCCCATTTGGATTTGGTTTTTCAAATATCTTAAAAGTTATGGTTATTTTATCAATGTATATCTTTAGTATTTGCAATTAAACACAACAAAAAAACAAAAACAAAAGTTATATAACATAGTTTTTCCCCATTTTTATTTGCATTATTGGTTTCTGTTTGATAAATAATATTTATAGGAAAAATACTTCTTCCTCTTGAAAGTAATCTTGTACTTCAATTATAGTGTTCTTATAGAGACAAAAATAATTCATATATCTTTGATTTTAGTCCTTAAATATTGAAAGGAAAAGATGTGTTGGAATTTGGCTGCTAATTTTGGAACTAATAACAGTCAAAGAATAGTAGTGGATGAAACAGGAAGTAAAGGTAGAAAAGTGTATGAGGAAAGAATGTCAGAAAAATCATTTAATTCATCCCTTTGGATGCCTTTCTCCAAAATTGGTGGTTCAATCTAACCGAAGAATTATCAATTTCATTTTCCAAATATTTTTTATATAGAAGAATGTGTCTTGTGCTGGTGAAAGGAACTGACTTATATTCTCCACCCAACTCTGTATTCCTTAGGCAGAAAAAAGGAGCCTGGTGATCCAATAGGTAAGCACGTGATTGCTAACAGAAAAGACAGTAGTTTGAAACTATCAGTTACTTTATGGGATGGCAATCTGCTCCTGTAAATACTACAACCTTGAAAGTCTTGCAGGGGCTCTCTAATGTCACATGGGCTTGTTCTGAGTCAAAATCTACTCAATGGCACCCTGGTAGAAGTGGACCCTGAAAGAATAGGGTGGGCCCTTTAGATCTAAAGAGTGGAAATTTGGATTTTATGGACATATGACATAAAATGACTGATAATTTATAACTGCTAGAGACATACCCTGACCAACCAGAATTCCTATATCATATTGAACTGAAAAAAGCTTAAAAACCTAAGCAACCATATTGTGATTGCACATTGGTACTAGCGAACATAGAACTATGCTGCCAGAAGAGAAAACCTTTGATAGTATCATTTTTTTTTTTTTTTCTCTTTGGGAACTTCAGGTGAGAAAGCTTTCCATGGGCTTTATGATTGACCCATTCATTCACTCATTCCTGAGAGACAGATTTCAGCTATGAAAAGTGATCTGAACAGGAATTATTCAGAGTTGACGGAGTTTATTCTTCTGGGATTCAGAACATCTCCAGAAATACAGACTCTTTTATTTGTACTGTTCTTCCTTATCTACATGGTCATTGTGGTGGGAAATGTCACCATGATAGTTGTCATTAAGGTAGATTCCAGATTTCATACGCCTATGTATTTCTTCCTCAGAAATTTGTCCTATTTAGACCTCTGTTACTCTACAGTCATTGCTCCCAAAACGCTGGCTAATTTCTTGTCCAAAGAGAAGAAAATTTCATACAATGGTTGTGCAACACAGTTCTTTTTCTTTGCTCTCTTTGTTGGGACTGAGGGATTCCTTCTGGCTGTGATGGCATATGATCGCTTCTCAGCCATTTGCTCTCCTTTCCTCTATACCATACGTATGTCTCAGCAGGCTTGTGTGTGCTTGGTGGTTGTCTCCTACATCTGTGGGAGCATCAATTCCATGATTCAGACAGGTTTTACCTTCAGTTTGCATTTTTGTGGTGAAAACAGACTGGATCACTTCTTCTGTGATGTCCCAGCCCTGATCAAGATTTCATGTGTTGACACCTTTGTGAATGAGATTGTGTTATTTATCCTCTCTGCTCTCATTATCATCACTACCACATCAATCATTCTAGTTTCCTATGCTTACATCCTCTCCACTGTCCTGAAGATCCCTTCAACCCATGGCAGAAGTAAGACCTTCTCCACTTGTACCTCTCACATCACTGTGGTGAGTTTGTTCTACGGGACTGTGTTCTTTATGTATGCCCAACCTGGAGCCATCTCCTCACCAGAGAAAAGCAAGATTATAGCAGTCTTCTACACTCTTGTCATCCCTATGCTAAATCCTCTGATTTATAGCCTAAGGAACAGAGAAGTGAAAAATGCTGTAAAAAGGATATTGTTAAGGAAAATGTCTTTTCTTTGACCTCCAACAATATATTAAAATGCAGAATAAAATAATTTACTAAAAGCAATAGTTTCATTAATCTGTTATGAAATAGTGGAGTCAGTTCCGACTCATAGCCACCTTGTATAGAGTTTCCAAGGCTTTAAGTCTTGGCAGGAGCAGAAAGCCTCATCTTTCTCCTGCAGAGCTGCCGGCCAACCTGTGGTTCTCAGTCCAGTATTAATCCTGTCATCAGTGGGTACTTTAAAAAACAAATTAAAAAATGAAATTAGCTTTTATCATATTTCTTCAAAACTGTTTTATGGTATGATATCTTGTTTGGTTTTGCTTAAGTGTAATCAAAATTGCAAGACATAAATACAGTAGTACTGGTTGGTTTGAACCACAAGGTCAGTGGTTCAAACCGATCTTGTAGTTCAGCACATTATCCTGCATTGCCACACCAGGATTCCATATATATATATAGCTCTAGTAACATAGTGGTTATGAGTCGGGCTGCTAACCTCAAGGTCAGCAGTTCGAAACTACCAGCTGTTCCGCTGGAGAAAGATGAAGCTTTCTGATCTTGTAAAGATTTACAGTCTTGGAAACTCTATGTAGGGTCACTATGAGTCAGAACTGACTCTATGACACACATCTACATCTATCTATCTATCTATCTATCTATCTATCTATCTATCTATCTATCTATCTATCTATTTATCTATATGTTGTTGTTAAGTGCCACTGTTGTTCTAAGCGTCATTGAATCATAAGGACTCTGTGTAAGGTTTCGAAGGAGAGGCTGGTGAGTTTAAACCTCAGATGAGTTTTTGAAATTAGACCTTTCAATTAGCAATACAGTGCTCATCCTACTGCACCACACCAGGACTCCCATATATATGTCTGTGTGTCTATATAACCATTTAATCTATCTGGTATGTGTGAAGGGTGAGAGAGAGAAGAAAGTCTTTTGAATGTTTTATGCTATGTGAATTATCCATACCATAATCAAGTTTTGCTACTGCCCAATCTTTGCAAATGAGAATTGAAAGTTCTATGATAATGTCAAGTATTGACTTTGCTCAGACAATTATGCAAGAAGTAATACCACATATTGCATCAAAAGCATCCTTAGATTATCCAAACATGAATGACTTTATTAAGAAATAAGAAAAATAAATATATGTAGTTGTTAAGTGCTGTCCAGTCATTTCCAACTCATAGTGATCTTGTATAGGGGTTCTGAGGAGTGGCTGGTGGGTTTGAGCCACTGACCTTGCAGTTCAAACGGACCTTGAGGTCCAGTGCATTATCCTGCAGCAAAACTATCGGGTCTTGCTGTTGTTTGATGCAATTGAATTGTTTCTGACTTATAGTGACCCTATGCAAAACAAAACAAACAACACCAGATTGTGCACCATCCTCACAATTGTTGCTATGTTTGAGACTAGTGTTGGTCTTTTTTGTTGTTGTTGTTGTGAAGTGCCTTTGAGTTAGTTCTGACTCATAGAGAAATTGCATAGGGTTTCCAAGGAGTGACTGGTGAGCTTGAACCTCCAATTTTGCAATTCAAGCAGAACTTACAGTCCAGCACATTAACCTACAGTGCTACACATAATCTTTTCAATGTTACTTATGATTATTAATCTCAGTTTATGTATTTGTAGGTCACTTTTATGACATATGTATGCATAGAAAATTCTTATTTTCCTCTAGATTTAAATATACATAGCCATGAAGTTACATTTAATATTGCCATAGTAATTGACTTATTTCCTTGCATTTGGTTATCTATACTTCCTACTTTTAAATATGAGAATGTTTATGTTATTTTTGTTCCATAATTAGACTTGCCAGGGGTTTGACTTAACACATTAGAGTTTTGAGAACCATTTCATTGTTTTCAAATCATAATTTTTCAAATTATTTTTCATTACTCTTATTATTTAGTTAATCCTTATCTGACTTCATCTGCTAAATACTTGCCATTTTAGTTTTAGTTTTAGTAAATTATATTTAAATCTATCACATAATTTAGGATGTTATCTATTTATTTTTATTGTTTTGGGAGAATGATGAGGCTTTCTGATCCTGGAAAGATTTACTGCCTCTGAAACCCTACGCAGAGTCATTAAGAGTCAGAACTGAATCCATGGCACATAACCAACACCACCACTACCACCATTTTTATTGTTTTATAACTTTTCCATTTTGTAAATTCTTTTTGGTTTGCTTTTCATTTTCATTGATGCAGGGTTATTTAGATGAGGTTTCTTATTTCAATGTCATTTAGACAGTATCATAATTGTTAATATCTCATTTTATAATTTTAATTTTAGAAAATATCAACTAAAAATCCCTTTGGTGCAATCTGCTTAGTTACAATGGTTAGCTGAGAGATAATGCATTTTTGTTAATGTCATGAATTTAAGAAAATAAAATGCCTATATTCTTTTGTATTCTATAAAACTGAATTCTGCAATGTATTAAACATAATAAGTAATCATTATGACTAAATTACGATTATTCGAGTCATGCATGAATAGTATGTTGTTGTTGTTAAGTGCCATAGAGTCGCTTCCAACTCATAGTGACCTTGTATAGTATTTCCAAGGAGTAGCTGGTGAGTTTGAACCACTGACCTTGTAGTTCAAACTGACCTCATGGTTGACTGCTTATCCTACAGTGCCAAAACCAGGAAATGCAGAATCACCATCACCACATTAATTTACGAAAAGAAGAAAAAATTATTAAAAGATGTATAAAAGGTGTTGAGTTTTATGAAAAATAAAATAAGTGAACTTACAAAAGAAGTAAATTTCATTAACTTTACAAAATTTCTCTATACCAATGGAATGAAAAATATTATTCTAAATGAAAAAACACTATAGTCATTTTCTTTGACATTAGGGAAAACTCAAAATTCTGTTTATCACCACTGTAGTCAGCATTTTGGTAGACATCCAGCCAATGCAATATGAGAATCAAAGTTCAACGTGTAAGGAATTAAAAGGGGGAGTGTCATTCACATGGCTAGTTACAAAGTAGAAAATCTAAAAAGTGTTTTGGAACATGTATGGATTAATGCCCCAAACTCAATTTCCTGTCTATGTATCTCAGTAAACAATAATATTTCATTTAAAAGATGATACCATTTACATTAGCATTTGAGAATATCAAGGATTTAAGAATAATTTCAACTGAAGATGTATAACACCTCTGTAGTGGTGGTGTGCTGTGGAGTCAGTTCCAACTCATAGCCCTGTATAGGGTTTCTGAGGCTGTAAATCTTTGCAGGAGCATAAAGACTCATCTTTCTCCTGTGGAATGGCTGGTAGTTTTGAACTGCTGACCTTGTGTTTAACAGCCTGACGCATAACCACTACACTACCAGAACACCTCAGTAGAGAGTTATGAAACTCTTTAGATCATGTAGTAGGGAAACAATATTAACAAATACAAAGAACATGACCTATATAAGAAAACATATGTATAGAAATATAATGAAACAAAGAGGTTTTGTCCATCAGAGGATACTTTAGAAAAAAATAAGATGAAGCGATAAAACCTGGGAGACTATGTTCGCAAAACATACAACCAAAAAGAATATATAATGAATGTCTATTAAATTGTAAGAAAGGCAGACCAAATGATATGAAATAGGTGAAATACATTAAAACAGAACAAACAACATGGCCAATAAAACATATCAGGATATTTTACATAAACAGTGTTTGAAGAAATGCAAAGCGAGACCATAATAAAATTTCATTTTATACTCAGTCAACTGGGAGAAAAAAAGTTTGACCATGTCAGTGTTGTAGAGGAAATGGTTTATTTACTGCATGCATTATCAAAAATGGCAGTATTTCCCCCAAAGAGAAAAAATGTTTCTTGGAAGATATAGTAAATCTTATTATTTTTATGTACTTAGTTCATATTTTTAGTGTATATTTTCATATGCACATACATATACATATATGTATAAAAGTTTGTGGGAAATAAATTTTATGTGGTAATTAGAAAAAATGTCTCAAAAAGACTTTTGGGTAGTTATAATGAAAAAAAAAGTTTAAAATACAGATGGTCTACATGTTTTAGTTCATATTTCAGTTAATAATGTAAATGAATGAAAGTAATTCAGGAAAGACTTCAGTATTATTTCCTATAGTTGAACATATTTGTATCTTGTTGCTGGTGGTGGTGGTGTGCTATGGAGTTGGTTTTGACTCATAGCAACACTGTATAGGGTTTCTGAGGCGACAAATCTTTACTGGAGAAGAAAGCCTCATCTTTCTCCTGTGGAACAGCTGTTAGTTTTGAACTGCTGACTCTGTAACTAGCAGCCCAGCTCATAACCACCAATTCCACTCTTGAGAATACCCTACACCTGTACTAGAAAAGATATGAACATGAAAGTTGATAACACTATAGTTAACAAAAGGAAGTCTGGAAACAGCTAGCATTTCATTAGGACTGTTGGTAGTGTGGTAATATAACGGAATATTATGCAACAAATAATTTACAAAAATACCCATAATAGAAGTGACTCTACATAACTTTTAGAAAAAAAAAAAAAAATGTTCCAGAAGATTAATAAACAAGACCATACCAGTTTCCCATAAGTTGGTTTGAACTCATGGTATGGTCACTTTATGTGTTTCAGAGTAGGGCTGAACTCTGTTGGGTTTTCAGTGGCTGTGATATTTTTTAAGTAGATCACTAGACCTTTCTTCCAAGACGTATCTAGGTGGATTCAAACTGTCAATACGCACTTAACAGTTTATGCTACCCAGGGTCTCCACCACGAAGATTGCATAAAGAATTTGTTTAAAAGACTAACTTCCATACTTAAAAATAACAAAAAAAAAAACAAAAAACTTCCATACTTTTAATTTTGTTAGTTATTCCTTAATTTTCTTTTTTAATTGCTGAAGTTCAGCAAGATACCACATTATATGTTATAGTCATGCTGCCTCGGCCCCTCTGAACTGTGATAGATTTTCCTGACTTTTTATCTTTGTTATTGAGAGTTT